CAGCGCGAGTTGTGATTGGCCACTGCTTTTCCGCTTTCTGCTTTTCCGTCAAGATGTGAACGCGCCCTTATAGTGCGATCCCATGATGCGGAATTAGCGCAATGAGGAATTGGCGGAACGCTCGTGATTGGTTTAGAAAAGACGTATCGACGGAGCGCAATTGACGGAATGCTTGCGATTGGACGGACATCGTTCCGCCAATTCCGCATTGCGTATACGTTCCGCATCATGGAACCGCGCCATTAGTCTCAGCCGTCTCAGTTTCTCTCTGGTTCTATAAATGTAGTCTGTGACTGCTTGTGCGCTGTAAGTCACTGTAAGTGTGACAAGTTTTGTTAAATAAGTTTGGTACGCAATCGTTATCAAAGTAGAATATATTTTCTAATTATCCCCTTATACATGCTATTGAAATATAGTGTGGCTCCTAGTCTTTCCCATTTCTTGGCAGATAAACTTGTCGATCTTAGTCGAATGTTTTAAGCGAACTTTTATTTTTTTTTTGTCATGGCTGATACATTCGAGTATATTTACAGCCGGATCGTGTCAGTGTGCGGTGATAAATGGTGGTACTCAACAGTTCGTTGAGAGCTGGTGAAGTTGCTAGTGTCTAGCAACGTGAAACATGGGTGACGACAATAATGGGCAGACGAACGGGTGTCGATGCGAAGATAGACGCTACTACTAGCGAGCTGGAAGTGCTTGTCGCGTGCTCGGAGAAGCAGGAGGGTGAGAAGGAAGACGAGGGGGAGGGGAAGGAGAATATATACAACGGAAGATCCGCGACGAGAATGGAATCGCGGCACCCACGCAAGAATCGTCTACGTAGCATCGTCGGGATATGCCTATTCCTCGCGCTGACTGGGATCATTTACCTGGGCTACTTCTGTCCGGATCACGTGTGCGCTTTGACCAACCGCGAGATCAGGGAGTCTATTGGGCTATCAGAGAGCCTATCCATCGCCCCTGGATCACCTGTCGCTGGTTCCGCCGCACTCTCTTCAGTTTCCATCGAGCTTGACAGAAACGGTCTGCTCTCGGTGCATCCCGCTTTCAAACTACAGAGCATCCAGGGTAGTCTAGGCTACGATGACATCTTTGCCAATGACACCTTTCAGTTTGATATCAATGCTCACGATGTTATGGTCTTCCTTCACATACAAAAAACAGGTACATAGAGAAAGTTCCAAATAACCATATCACAAGATAATAAATTTAAGTAATACAATCAATAATTTATTCTTAAATAATTTAGAAAAACAAAAACACTTTGTATTTAATCTTTAGCAGCATAATAAACAATAATTAAATAAATAATAAAAATAAAGCCATTGACACTATAAAGTTAGATTGAAGAGATTATAATGTTAAAATGAACAGATTATAAATGAATAGATCAAGTAAAATAAAAATGTGTGTCGAAATAGTGTAAATACAGAGACAATAAAAAGCTATGTTAAAAGTCAGATAACAAGTCTGTTCGCACTGCTTGAAATCTCCAACAATTTTTGAACTTAAAATGAGATAGGATACATTTGGGTGTTGAAAAAAGAGAAAGAAAAGATGCTGAGTATAGCAATGCAAACAGACCTAATGTAATAAAATTATAAATAATCAGAATCTTATTTTTAGACTGTATATATAAGAACACAACCAATAAGAACTAGAAATTAAATGCCTATAACGGTCGAAGCTGGATCTTTCATGCTTAAATAATTCAATGTGAATTATATGTACATATGTATATGTATGTATATATACCATATTTGTAGTCATTACTATATATGTACATGCATATGTACCATATTTGTAGTCATTCAAACTATAATAAAATTATAGTAAAAATGTTGCCACCAAATCGAATAATAAAACCAAGCAAGTCCCAAGAATCAATAATGAAAAATTCTAATAACTAATTCGTCAGTTAGAGGTGAGAATTATACAAAATTCAAATCCAAGTTTGTGACAAAATGTCCAAAAATTGTGGAAATAAAAAATTAAAAAATAAGTCGGTTACATAAATAGTTGGTTTTATAAGATTAAACAATTAAATAAACTAAAAAAGAATATTACAAATTAAAAAGAATTAGTTATGAAATTAAAATCATGTGAATAACAAAAGAATGATTAAATTAGAAAAAATAAAAAATAATTAAAACGTAAATCAGGAAAAATTATAAATAATTTTAAAACTTAGTGTCTGTTATAAGTATTCAAGGTGGAATAAGTTCATTCATTCATTCATTCTTTATTGTAATGCATACACATATATACATAGCAAATGGCAAGACAGTAAAACTGCTGTTACAAGTCAGCCAGTAGCTAGATTATAACAAGGTATCACACATTTGAGACAAAAGAAACGTAGTAGTCTAACACACTGCGTATAGCATAAGCTTGCAAAAAACAAGCATAGTTAATTTTACTTTTTAAATTAAGTTAAAGTTAATGGTCTGTAAAATTAACTTACAATTATACGGTAAAAGTTGCACGAATAAGAAACTAATAGCGTTTTTCACTGGCAGAGCTGATGCGCACTCAGTGCACTTTAAAGCCGTTGTACAATCGATATAAAAATGTACGTTCAATAAAAATATAGAAACGAATTAAACCGCGAAATCCTCAATATATTTTATTGTGGTATTTGATAAAATATACATTGGGTATTTTTTATTAATTGAGATATCTCACTTTTACATTCAAATTAAGTTAGTATAAAACAGCTTTAATATGCATTGAGTGCGCATCAGTTCTACCAGTGAAAAACGCTATAACTCACAAGAAGAATCCCAGAAATGTTTATCAAGTTTTTCGATGCAATTTTTTAGGTGATTGATAATAATGTTGATTATAGGTGAATGATAATAATGTTAATTAATTGCTAGTAAGACATAATAATACTTAGTAATGTCTATTGCTCGGTAATTCCTACTAAAGTTGGTGAAAAAGACCGTTAGTATTGTTTAATTTTATTTTAATTTATTTTAATAATATTATACATCAAATACGAAGAAGAACGTCAGTATATATTATATTCATTTTAAATGAATTTTATTTCAGATAAAATTGAGCGCCAATAACTTTCAGACTTTTAACACAATCAATCTGAAACGCTACTAATCCCCCCCCCCCTAAATTAAATTAGAAGAAGTCTAAAGAACTTATTTAATAATATAAAAAAATAAGTATCTGTTGCATCCAAGATATCTAACATTATTCTTGTTTTGTTCAAAGGTGGTACACTATTTGGCAAACATCTAGTGCGAGATTTAGAATTACAAAGACCGTGCTCATGTCAACGACGACGCAAGCGTTGCTTCTGTTTCCGTCCAAATCATAACGAAAATTGGTTATTCTCACGATACTCTACCGGCTGGAAGTGTGGATTACATGCGGATTGGACCGAATTAACAAATTGTGTTGATACGGAACTCAATAAAATTGAAGGAGATGGAATTAAGCGCCGTTACTTTTACGTAACTATCATAAGGGATCCCGTTGCAAGATACCTCTCCGAGTTTAGGCACGTACAAAGAGGTGCTACATGGAGAGGTGCTCGTCATTGGTGCGGAGGTACTCAAGCAAATATACCTCAGTGTTATGATGGTCCTAATTGGAAAGGTGTTACCCTGGAAGAGGTAATATGTTCTGATTCGTTTTACCTTATATAGCTTTTATTATTAGTTGCATTGAAAGTCTGTTTTTTTTTGTATTTGAGCATTTATTTCAATAATAAAATGTGTGAATACCTCAATCAAAATGTTTGACCTCGGAAGCTATTTTTCTCGGACTTTTTCTCACTTTTCTGGAAGAAGTTGAATTCCGCGACGACAAAATAGTCTGTCTTTCAGCCAATCCATTCAACAACCTCATTTTCGACTTTACCGTAATTATGGAAGTGTATATTTTCCAGAGCGTGTTGCATCGATCGTAACAGATGGTAATCACTTAGTGCCAAGTCCGGAGAATACACTGAGTGCGGGAGAACCTCCCATTTGAACTTCATCAGTGTTTGTTTCACAGCTATAACAACATCGGGCCGAGTGTTATCATGGGGAAGAATTAACTTTCGGAGATTTGATGCAATTGATGGTCGTTTTTGCATCAAATTATCATTCAAATGCTCCAATTCTGATTGTTTTGTTCAATTTCAACAGCTCATAATAGCCGGGAACCTCCTTGCCTCGCAGCGCTTCACGAATTATTCCTCATGGAAGCGAATTAAAAGTATTCGAAATATCTAACGAGACAGCGACGACCACGCGATCCGCGCGGATCTCCTCATCCACCCACTCCCTCGCCATATAGCATCCACGGTTGACCTGTTTGCCCTGAAACCATACTGACAATCGGAGAGTCCACCATTCCTCTATTCTCTAAGTGCGCCTGAAGTCTAGAATTCAGGATCCTTTCCTTTGTTACAACAAAGTAATGAACAAGTAGTGTTACGTGATATATCGAAATTGTGTTGATATTGTCGCGCATTTTCAACATCATGCCGAAGCTTTAGCTGATCTCTAGCTAGAGGATCTCTACTAGTCTCTGTGTTCTTACCGAATCACACTTTCGAGCATCCTTGCTACCGGCTCCGATTCCTAGGGCAACTGACTCCAGAACATTTTATTTTTTAAATCTAGCTCTTTCTCCCCGAGGAATAGCAGATTGAACCCCACTTCTGAAGCTATAAGAAATAAGCGAAAACATGAGAAAAATATCAGGACTCTAAAATTCGAACCGAGGCTTGATCTCCTTCATATTGGTAGACTTCCGTTCTGTCACCGAGCCACACAGCACTGACTCTGAATTTCTCTGTGCTTACTTCCTCTAAATTTCTTACAGCACTCTTTTTCATTTTGTACGCGGCTGTTTTCTGTTAGATAACTTTGTGTCGTGCCCTCTTCTATAGTAAACACATTGTACTTGTGACTTGTTAATATAAGCAAAGAAAGCAAATTAAAAAATTTGATGCTTTTAATATTTAATAATTAATAAAAAATGAGGAATAGAACTATTGATATAGTTTAGGAAATTTGGTTTAATAATGAGATTATTTTTTATATTTGTCCAGTTTATGGAATGCCCTTACAATTTGGCAAGAAATCGTCAAACGAGAATGCTGGCAGATCTATCGATAGTCGGCTGTTATAACTCTACTCTTAGCAAAACTGATAAAGACCGTCTAATATTGGCTAGCGCTAAACACAACTTACAATTTATGCCTTTCTTCATGCTGACTGAATATCAGAAGGTAATATGTTAAAATATACGCAATTTATTTTTATTGTTATCGTCATTATTACCGTTTCGTTGATAAATAAATTTGTCTACTATAACTTTTTATTACAATGCACATGGTATTTATCATACAAAATTTTTTATTGTGTGGTGTATCAACATTCAACAGTTGGTACTATTTGATGTCCTGGAGACGAGAGAGAGCGCTTCATGTGGCGTCGTGGAAAGAAGATAGTGACCCCTTTTAGAGTGAGATTTTATTTGTGCGTTTTTTGTCATACGATAAATGTGTACAGGACAGAAAGATCCCCCCCTCGGCTCTCTCTATCCTATAGGCAATCAACAGGCTTAAAAAATTTCTCGTACGACAAAAACGCACAAATGAAATCCCACCCTCGCACCGAGCACTTTTAAAAACCCTGTAAGAGGTCCCGGGAAAATTCCAACTGGATCTTGTTCTGGGTGAACAGACCTACAATTTGAAGGGAGTAACGACCCATTTGAACGCTTGGAACCTTGCTAAAATCGACCTTAAACTCGAAATTTGATCATTTTTAACATTAATCGGGCTGTATTTTTTAAAGCGTATATCGTAGAGCTAAATAAATTATTGCATCGTATTGAGCGATCAAAAAAACATACAGTACCACGTTTAAAAATCGAATTAAGCCATTTTTGCATCAAATCAAACATGTATTAAAGAAAATCGAAACTTTGATTTAAAAATCGTTCACTGGCGACCTCTAAATCTTAATATTTTTTGATAAAAATTTAGAGGTGTTCTTTTGGCGTGAAATGGAAACTGAAAAACTGATTTAAAAAAATTTTTTTTTTTTTCTTTTCAGTCTAATATACAGGATGTCCCATTTTAAATAATGCATTAAGATTTATCGAAAACTATGGTAGATACAGAAAAATATTTCAAACAAAAGTTGTATGATTCGGAGGGGAACATAAGAAGATACCATTGATTTAACCTTGAATGGCGTCGTCAAGGTCACGTCGGTTTTTTTAAATGGAACCTATTTTTCATTATATTTTCTTGTAGCTTACCTCAAGAGCTTTTCAAAACACTATAATGAAATATTTTTTCATTAAGTATTTTTCGAGTTATAAGACTCGTTTGGAATAAACCTATGGCTCCAAAATGTTATTGAGAGGGAAACAGTAAATATTTACGTAAAGTTAAACAGTCAATCCGTGAACGTGATGTAGATATAGCAGCTTACAATATTGTAAGTAATGTATGGGATTAAAGGAATATGTCCTTAACAACATATGTCAAGGTCATTTATGAAGGGGTTGACCTTATGTGAATATTTATCTATCAAAATTGATAATTATATCTTTTATATTTTACTTCATATGTATTAACAATAAATTTTATTCATATGTCAGGTGGGGCAATACACCTTCGAAGAAACATTTAAAATGCGATTTGCGATTGCATTTGAGCAGCACAATGCTACACTTAGTGCAGCCACTATGGCAACCCTCAGCACAGAACAATTAGACGCCGTACGTAAACTCAACAGCCTGGACCTAGAACTCTACGAATTCGCAAAGAATCTTGCTTTTCAAAGATTTAAACGGCTTAGAGATCGTGATCCACATTTCGTACAACGATTCCAACACCTTGGTGAATTGCCATCTAGGCAAAGTGCCACAGAATTTAATTGGGATTCTGTCATTGAAGACACTACGGATAACGAATGATGTGTGAGTATGTTATTAAGCAATTCTCGATGTTTTGCATTCGATATCAATCATTATTATGGATCTAAGAATCTGAGGGAAGTGCCCTTGAAACAGAATACAGGGTGTACCGGTAGAATCCGGACAATTTTCTAATTAAAATTCCCGTCATATAATAATTCGTCAGCTGGCAACTAGACGACATTCAAGTAAGCCTGATCCATTGGGAACAAAAACATAACTTCGTCATGGTCGAGCTGATTAAGAAGTGTCCAAAATATAATCGGAGAGCCGCGATTGCTGAAAGTCTTCGCGCTGGACGCACAGTGCCCGAAATAATAAAGTTCTTCAGTTACCCGAAGCCGACGGTTTATGATATTGCCCGTCGCTACGCAACTTCCGAAGGGTCCGAAGAAGGCTCTTATACGCCGATGCGGAAGATTCAGGTTAGGAAGAAGACCGAAAGGACTATCAATCTCATCGAAAAGGAGCAAAAATGCATTTCCGATGACCCTGGAATCTCGATTTGTCCTCAGAGAGCATCTGTCTCACCTTTATAATATAAGATGTGTATCTGAGGTTCTCATGAACGATCCGAGAGGTCATAGATACTCTTGTCTCCAAAATAGCCGCTAATTTCCGAATCGAGATCCCAGGGTCATCGGAAATGCATTTTTGCGTATAAGGCCTTCTTCGGACCTTTCGGAAGCCGCGTAGCGACGGACAATATCGTAAACTGTCGACTTCGAGTAACCGAAGAACTTTATTATTTCGGGCACGATGCGTCCAGCGCGAAAATTCAGTAATTTCGACTCTCCGGTTATATTCTGGACACTTCTCAACCAGCTCGACCATGACGAAGTTATGTTTTTGTTCCTTATGGATCAGGCTTACTTGAATGTCGTCTTGTTGCCGGCTGACGAATTATTATATGGCGGGAATTTTAATTTGAAAATTGTCCGGATTCTACTGGTACACCCTGTACTTTATACATAAATCACTGCATACTTATCTGCATAAAATTTACTAAAAGCACAGAAATGTACTTGGATAAGACCAAAGAAAGGTTCGAGAATCTTAGTGATGAATTTATTAAATAATACGATTGATTTTCTTTACGGTTGATTCCAAGATTATCGGGATCGAGCATTTTCTCTATTCAATGATTTCCTTTCTCAATACTCATACTTTTATTCTAATAGCAGGTGCGCGAAGTGAGAATATTGTTGTATATTTTGTCTCTCATTCGTTTTCTAATTCTAATTGACCATTTTAGTCACATGGAAAGTACGAATATTAAGAGAGCAACATAAGAGAAGCACAGGCAAGTTTGCTTGGAATAAAAGAAATTCTAAAATAAAGGAAATCGCTCATATAGTCGCAAAAATTGTCTATCATGAAGTACTCGTAAATTTTATAAAAGTTCTTCCATAAGTAACATGTCTTTGCTTATAATTGTACAGATAATCGCGAAATTTTTTACATTTATAACTTATCGAATTAAGGCCTTATGCGCAAAATAAAGTTTTTTCATGTATACATATATTAATATTTATTAATTTGTATATTTTTTTATAAGCTCTATACAAATATTTGGTTTTTTTATTTCATCTGTGAATTTTTATACAAACGGTGTTATGACACGCTATTATAGTATAATGTTAATACAATTAAACTTATATATATTGCATATAATTCACTATATTATATACAAGTGATAATTTTTTACAGTTAAAAAAAATAAAAAATGTTCTTTTAAAGACGAAATGAAAACATCATTATATAATTTTTGTTATTTTTTTATTTATAAATTTTACTTTATATTATTACCTATGAAATCTTGTATCTGTGAATTTCCAAAAATATATATTTTCAATACACAAAGTTTCTACCATTTTGATAGAAATTTGTTGAATATATCTTTTGTATAATCTAAATCACTGAAGATAATAAGTAAAATTTATTCTTAAACATAATATAAATAAAATAGGGTTTAAAACAAATGGGCCAAGTAACTGAGCTAAAAAATGATGAAAGAAATCATATTGTTACAACTCATGGCACTCCCGTTCACTTTATACGCTTGCAGCAAACTTGCATGCGGAAATAAAAGATATATTTTTGAACATTTTGCACCCAATGGGTGCATTCAGTACTACAACCGCTCATTGAGCGCTCAGTGAGCGCTTGCATGTTATTGGCATGTTTTGTTAGAACTAAAAATATACACCAATCAGATTAAGAATTCACTGAGCGCTCAGTGAGCGATCGTATTGAATGCACCCAATGCACCCAATGCACCATATTAGGTGCATCCAGAAGAGCAGAACACTCAGTGAGCTCTTGTATCTGATTGGCATATTCCATTAGAGCTAAAAATATGGACCAAACAGTTACAAGAACTCACTGAGCGCTCAATGAGCGGTCGTGCTTCTAGATGCAGCCATTGAGTGTTAAAAGCCTTCGCGGCGCAATATTATATATTTTATTGATAAATTTCAAATATAATTAGGAATAAAAGAAAGATTAAATTAAAAATAACAAAACGTTAAATGATTACAAATATGTGTATTAAGGAATTAAAAAATTAAAATATTAAAACGCTTTCTCCGTTACAGATTACATTGCAAGATAATAATATTCAGTAATAAGATGTGATGTAACACCTCTTCGTTAAAAGGCGAGAAAGAGTTGAATCCACACACAGCAAAGTAAAAATACATAAAAGTCAAGGAGTACAACGTCATTGGTTAGCATGTCTAACAAACAAAATGGAAAAGATACAAATTAGGAACAATGGAAAGGTAATATTATCTGTATTAAAAAAGGAGGAATTTATGTCGGTATGAAAAATAATGAATATAAATAAATACAGGGTGTCTCGAAATTTTTTGCCAAGTACTCTTCTCATACAGCACCGATTGTTGCGGAAAATTTTCAGGAATGTTTCTAAAATCTGTCATATACAATAAATTGAAAAGTATATTTAAACCCTCGTGAAAAAATTTCGCTGAAATTATTCCACGTTTTGGAACATTTCAGCGACATTACTGAAAATTTACTGACACTTCACTGAAAGTGAATTTTTCAGCTGACATACTGAAAAATCACTGAAATTCAACTGAATGTGGTGAGTGACGAAGCGATGGCACCATAGCGGTGAGGGATGAGGTATAATAGAGAGAGCTAGCTACAGTTGACGCGATCTCAGAACTTTAATCTGGGCTCTATTAATTAATATCTTGTTAACTATTGCGAAAATTACAAAATGGTAGAAGGCTTATCAACTCAGTTTAGTTCGCTCTATCTACACAAAAGCGCTTGGCAAAAAATTGCGGGACACCCTGTATATATCTATCTATACATATATTATATATACATATATATACACTATGCAAAAAAATAAAGGATTACAAATTGTTAGTCTGGCCTTCAAAAATAGGTAATATTTAAGTGAGTGTAACTTCATCAAGAATTAATCGTAACGAGATTTTTAATAAAGCATTTTAAACCTTGAAGTCTTTACTTTCAAGATTGATAATTGATATTTCGATCTGATTGACTTTTTATAAAGTTATGGGGATATAAATGAACATTCATTAAATCTAAAAATTTTTTTCAATTTACACCGTTGAATGAAAAGAGATAAATTTGGCCGTCTTCCACGGTCCCTTTCTCTTACTTTTGTCGATCATTTTGACACACGGATCGCACAGTCCATTCTCTATGTCTTTGATTTGTAGTTATACAGTTTGAATTAAGGATGTACTGGTCGTACAGTCCTTGCAAAGCAAATGAAATTTGGAAATGTATTAATATATCCATAATACGAAAACGAAACAGTTTTAGCTCCGGAATATTTAATTACAAACGAAATGAGAATCACTACAAACGATTGTAAATCACATACCTTTAAAATTGACAAAGGAGGATGTTAAAAAAGTCCAATTTTTGGGCCTTCTACGGATCCTTAGTTAACCACAAAAAGTTGTTTGGGATCACATAAAATAGTAAAAATAGTTTTATATCCCAGAAATGCGGGGAAAGTAAATTTTTTTGATATTATGTATCTCCCTTTGTAAGTCAAATTTTCGAATACCACGCTGAATTGGATATATTGCAAAGTTTTTCATGATAATTGGTATTAAAGGTCGTTAATGCAAAACAATAAAATGCTTGATCCACATAGGCTGCTTTCGGAAACATCATCCAGGTGCTTCTATGTATCACCTTATTCTTGTTTAACATTGGGTGAACAGCAAGGATAAAATGATACATGGGGGCACTCAAGTGATTTTTCCGAACGCAGCCATATTGTACAAAAAAGAAATTTCAGTGTGTCCAATGATAGAGAAAACCAAAAAAACCGAATCGGCTATTTTGAATTCGCCATCGATGTTTTCATTTAATTAATAGATTTGTAGTTAACTTATCTTACAGAGCACGCCGCTTAGAATCCATTCTGATAAAAAATTCGATTACCGCAACTCTACGTATAAGACTGAATGTCGAAGACTCTATTTTTTTCCCTATATATATATATATATATATCCATAATTTACCATTTTTTAGAACAGAATCATGATAAGAGACCCTTAATACCTCTAAATGTCAATTATCATGAAAAACTTTTGCAATACATCCAATTCGTGATCGTGAATAAGTTCTAGCCATGATGTAATAAAGAAAAGAGGTATGCTGTTACAAGAAAATGATTAACCAATAAGGATGCAATAAGGATCCACTATATCATAAAATAAAAACGATATACAATCTTGTGGATAGAGCATTATTATTGTTTTATCCTAACTTTCAGTAAAAGAATCTTGAGTACTATAAAAATACTTAGTGACAATTCTTGATCTAATTTTTATAGAAATTAATTTGAAAATCAAGAAGATATTTAGTGATGGATTGTCGACTGTGTTTAATAACGGGACAACTAATTGAGGCGAGGATGCATTAAAAAAATATGATACTTCCCTACATACGAAATATATTAAAAACAGCTGCAGGTGTGTAAACAGATCGAAATTTAGTGTTGGATTTAGATAAATAAATTCAATCATTTAGTCAAGGTATATAAGAATAAAAACTGAACTCCTTTCGAACAACAATGTAATTTATAAAATTAGTTGCAGAGACATTACTGCCTACGTGGAACAGATAAAACAACAATTACAAACTAGAATAAAGAAACATAAGAATAACATCAGTCAAAATCCATCATGACAATCTATAATTACAGAACTAAAATTTAATCAATAATTTAAGTGAAAATCGACCGAGAGATGTTCAAACACAAATAAAAGAAGAATATCATTATCAAAGTGAATCCTAATGCTTAATAATATTCATATGAGTATACAAATACAATTATCAATTCTATAGACTGTGAACACCATCATCGGTAATGATTATTCATAACTAATATAATATTCTATTCATCGATAATAATTATTATTCTTTACTAAAAACAATATCCGTCATCCATGGTTATTCGTAATCAAAAACAATTTCCGACATTGATAATGGTTATTCATAATCAAAATACTTAAAAATTGATATTTTATAAGTTACATTTTTTGAACAATTTCTTTAAAATTTAATGATGATTGTCTTCCCTATGAATAAAATCAACTTTTAATCAATGATTTTTTTTTTAGATCAAATTTTTAAGATATGTTACTTTTGGTCTCTGCTGTACACTCACTGTAAAGAAGAACTTCGTGATACAGACATCTAACTTGTGTAAGTTTCTCACAATATTTAGTATTTCTCACATCTATATACTATATAAATTCTTTCTTTTTTAATAAATGACTTGATATTACCCTTTTCCTATATATTATTCATAATTTATAGCATATTCATTTTGTTTGTTAAACAAAATGGAAAAGCTATACATTATACATTATACTCCTTGACTTTTATTTTTACTTTATGTGTCCACACACAGTTCACAGCTGTGTGTAGACTCAACTCTTTCTCGCCTTTCAACGAAGAGGTGTTACCGATATCACATCTTATTACTGAACATCATTAGCCTGCGATTCGATCTGTAATAGGGAAAGCGTTTTTATTATTTCCATATCTCTTAATTTCTTAATACATATTTTTATTCATGTTGTCTGATCATTGATTTCTTGCTTGTTCAATCGTTCAACGTTTTTGTTGTTTTTATTTTTATCTATTTTATTTATAATGTTTTCTTTTAAGTTCATCTTAAATTATGCGATCACGTACGGCTGAGGAACTAAGACAAGATTGAAATGTTCCGTTCGTTATATATTTGAAATTTTTTTTACGAATAAAATATTTATTTCATCTTTTTTTTGCTCGATCACTTGACCTATTTGAAATCCTATTTTAGAATATATGAGTTTGATTTTAATTTTATAAATAAAATAATATTAAGTATAAATAACAAACAGATTTCTCATTCTTAAAAAATACACAAATGAAGAGAATCACACTTTTTAATATATAAAAACATTGAATAATTATGATATTAACGATTTTTTTGTGTTAAATTTTATTTATAATGCGTGTATCCAAATACAAATATATATAACAAATACTGCTAATTAATGCACAAATATTCTAGCTATGTTATTAAAAAGGTCAAGTTTTACTTAAAAGATAAAAAAAATGCGCGAGATCTCAAGTTATCATCGATATACTATTATTATTTAGAAAACATGGGCAATAACAATTTTTCAACGTTTGATATATTTTATGTATACAATTCTTTGTATAAGCACATTTTTTATAATTAACAGATATATAGGTATCAAATTATACTTTTGTAAATATATCTGTGAAAGTATATATTTTTTAAAGAAATTATTTGCAGTGTAATTGAAATTTACATTTATGGAAGTGTTTTGTATTGTTCAAGTGATGAAACAAATATGGTAAGCCATATATTAACCGATGTATGTTTCCGATAGAAACATCTGAAAATGGAAGAAAAGAGTATCCATTTTTGATCGTTGCTTTGCACTCGTGAATGATCATTAACGGTCCTACATTCAGTTAATTTATACAACGTTGAAAACTACTGTTCATTATTTATAACATTATTTTACTGTAAGCAGAGTTCAACATTCAGATAATTACACCGTAATTATATTATCGAAAGTCTCCCTTATATATTTCATAAAATTATTTAAATTATTTTATCACAGGCCTACATAGTTTAATTAAACGATAGAGTATAGGCATTGGATGATGATCATTTGTAAATGAAAATTAATCATGCTACTTTAACAGAATTAGTATTGAAATTTCAGATGCAATGAAAGTGCAATAAGGCGACTGCGATGGGTTACCATTATAAATATTTCATATCATCCAGTCATAAAATAAATATAAAAGTTGTAGTAGTTTAGAGTAGTTAATAATTACTTAATAGATTACAAAAACTCTCTAAAAGATATAATAAAGGTCTTTCGAATGAATACAAATCATATGTATTTAGAGAGTAAGTTATGTAGGAAACAGAGTGCCATGAAATTCTTATATTCAAATATTAACCGCTAAAAATAGATAGTTATGTTACATTTAATACAATAAGACTTTGTTATGGCAAATAATATCAGGTAATTTAAAAATTATATTGTTTCAATCGAATGACCTATTTATATAACATAAATGCGTAATGTTAAGCGTGTGACACTATTGATATTAATTGTTTATATAGAACTAATATTAAGGACCAAAGATTTGATATGTTTCAGCAAGTATTGAGAAAGCTTGCAACATAAGCAGTTGTAAGAAACCTTTTAGATACGTCGTTAGATGAAAAGTTCATAATGTTGATGATAAGCGCCAGCAGTTACTTCAACATTTTTTTCTTTAGTTATTATTTTCATATTATAATTAAAGGCGCTTATCTTACTGTGATCGATTTTTATATCAGATAAAGAAAACAATTGAGAATATATATTTAATTATATTATATGCGGTAGTGTGCGGTTTATTTTGAAATGCGATAGAATTTTATAAGTCGAATATATATGCATGATCTCAGTATGTATGAATTTGAAAAATGTATTTGTTTACAATAATTGAATTGTTCTAACATTTATACGACTGATGATGTAAACAAAGATGCAAGTTTTCGATATGTTAAGGTTGAAACATTAGCTTTAATTATGATATGAATTTGAACCGATGAAAATAAATCTAATATTAAACAAGAGATATCCTAGATTCGATCAAAACGGATTCAATTTTCTGTGTGAATTTATATACGTATCTAATTCTGCAAATCGCAAACCGAAATCTTTTTCCAGGTTCGAATCTCGGCTGAGGCAATATTTTTCATAGATTTACGATTTTCGTTAACATCTAGATTATTAATACTCTTATAAAATTGCTTATTAGCATAAAGATATTAAATTGCTTGTCAATTTAATAAGTAATATTACTCTACTCTGGTTCTGAATTACGTTTCAAGACCGAAAAAGATTTCGATCGTGGTTTGTAGAATCAGACATGTATATAAATTCACCTAGAAATATTTAAACAGTAAGATCCGCTTAGACCGAATATAGGATTTTTCTTGTTTAATTAGCTTTACTATTTAATACAATATTGTTAGCGAAAGGGAAAGTAACTATGGAGAAAGTGTGCGTGTGTGAGAGAAAGAAAATTAACGAAATGCCATGACACTAAGCCTAATAAAGCGAACAATAGGCCTAAAGCCGTCGGTACCTTATTTAAGCCAGTATGTACATACTATACCATTAGTCGTTTAAGGTTTAATAAATCATTATGTATACAATGCATACATATGCACATATATATATATATTATATATTACTCAAATTGTACACACATATTTATGTGTGTGATTATATCTATTATTATACAATTATACAAAGATATGTGTAGTTATCGTAACATAAACATCGGATTGGAATAGAACTAAATTGACTCATTCAAACATTTAACGTTGTAAACCTCTTTTTAGTTTTAATAAATCTCAAGAATTCTCTCAGTTAGTTATATAAAATCTAGTTATTATGCATCTCTCTTCGTTTTGTAGAGAATAGATCGAAAAATAGATTCTCACATCTTTAGGCAAATCGTTTATTCCAAACTCCTCAATCAAATATATTATCATGCAATTGTGTTTGTGACATTATTTTTTAATACCATGTTATGTTTTTATACTATGTTGTAACTCACTGTTTACAATTTATCTTAGTTTAACGTTTAACTTCAACATTCAACTTAGCTTAATGTTTAACGAAACCCGAACGAGGAATGTTAGTTTTAACAATACATATTATTTTTGTTCCTATCATCCTGCTAGAGCAACGATTGTTCCAGCATTATTTTCTCGAAGCCTATTGGTGGAGTATAAATAAAATTTTCTAGAAATAGGTCCAGAATGGCTCCATCATCCACTGAAAGTTAAAATAATATAAATTATATATAAAAATCAATTGTCACACACATGTTAATTCCCAGTAAACGAAAATGGATTGAAATAAATTCAGATTTTCAAAAGTACACATTCGTAAACATTGAAATAAATCCTTTTCAATCTCAATGTGCATTTTTGTTCATTTATAGGAATTGCACATGAAACACATCTCTATGCCTTTCAATCTAAAAAAAAATTTCAATTCTTTGAATGCATTGTAAATATTGCTCAATTCAAAATTCTGAATAGGGGAAATGCAATTTTTCAATCCGATTGAATCTAAAAGAAGTTTTTCTATCCAACTGAATAAAAAAAAGCGAAAATGGATCATGGCTATATTAAAGTATTCAGGTGGATTCAAATGATTAAAATTTCAATCCATTTTAATCCATTCTCGTTTATATGAGTTATCCATTAGAACAATAAATACCATATAACGCTGGATAAATTCGTCCCTTTACACCTATAACTGGAGCATTCATGGGTTCTCCATTTAAATAAAAATTCAACTCTATATGATCGTAGGATACTCCCTGAAAAAAGTTTTTAATTATTCAAATGAGATATTGACTGTAATAACGATCTTTTAAAAAATCAGAAGCATTTTCTCTGATTTTTCAAGTTTAATTAATTTCTTCAAAATATATATATCAAACTAAATAGCAGTATATACATACAATGACATCTCCTTCCTGGACAGGATTTTGAATCTTGTGAAGTTCTTGTTCATTATGCCTTATGATACCATCAGAATCGAGCGCCCAACTTTCTGAGTCTTTGCCTCCTACAGCAACATTGAGATCCGCGTCTCTCCTGGCTAGTCCAATGCCCCATATACCGCCCTGCTGTATCTTCACTTCAAAATAACTTTTACTCTGAAGAAGAGGGGCATTCGTCAAGGCACCACCGCTTCCGCATATTCTTAGACCATTTTTTACTATTACTACCTCGTTTCCTGTACAAAATAGCATGGCAATTTATATCTTCCTTTTATCATCTTTGTACACATTGAATATACATACATATGTATATACAGGGTGTTCCAAAAAACCATTCAGCATTTATATGGTAGATAGTACACACCACGAAGTAAGAGAGAAGGAGACCCAACTTCGTGAAAGGAAAGTGGTCTTGATTCGTGACCCCTAATTGGGAGGGAGTCCGCTGAATGGAATGGATTTTTATGTTTGGGCGCCAATTGCAATTACCTGAGTAGTCCGGCCTTATCCAGCCTTACCAATTGCTGTAAGAGGCATTAATGAATTCAACAAAAAAAGTTGCATATATGATAGTAATTGATCTTCGATGGGAAAATAAATAGAACAGCATCTTCTTTTAACTTTGGTACTTTATGTTGCACCATAATTGTTGCATCATCTGCCATATAAAAACTATCTTCTCGGAGAATATCATCTTTTTCAAAATGCAACTCACAGATGCGACTTTTTTTGTTGAATTCATTGATGCCTCTTGAAGCAATTCTATTGGCACACCGACTGTTAAACATTTCAGGACCACTTTTTCAGCTCGCGCGCTATCTAGTTGGGTCTCCTTCTCTCTTCGTGGTGCACACCATACTGAGTAAAAAAACCTTTGTGAACATAGGTCGAAAAATTCAACCGTTTCTGAGATACAAACATTTTTGTATGTTAGCATCATGAATAATTTTTGCTTCTACGTGTCGTCTGCGATGTTTACCTCAATGTTTATAAACCGTGTTCTGTATGTTCTTATTCAATTTCTATACATACTTCATAATAGAAGATAATTACCGGCAATCAGTCAGATCAACTGGTAATTGCGGATTTTATTGGGTGATTACACAGGTTGTGCTAAAAATGTCAGCGTATTACTCTAATTAAGAAATCGCAGATATGCATTTTTTATGATCGTGCTAATGGAAATGCCTCTATTGCGCGACGTTTTTACGCCGAAAAATTTCCTAATCGAAGAGTTCCTTATCGTACACTAGCTGTTTCATCTTCACCAACTTTGTGAATCAGGTTCGTTTAGAACTCGCCATCGAGACTCTGCAGGTGGACTTAGATCTGTATTGATTCTCCGATACGGAAAATCGCATTTTAAAGATAATAGAAGAAAATCTCGGAACCAGCGTAAGAAGGATATCTAATGCTGTAGGAATCATGATAAAATGTTCACAGTAGCTACTCGTAAATACTGTTCGGTCAAAGGTGGATTGGATGTGGTGGTCCAGTTGCATGGCCCCCCCCCTCGATCTCCTGATTTAAATCCCTTAGACTTTTTTTACGGGGATATTTGAAAAGTAGAGTGTATTCTTCGCCAATAAATAACATAGAAGAATTACATGACCGAATCCAGCGTGCTTGTTAAATAATTCGATCAATAATTGGACCAATGTTTTAAAAAAGCCACTGGCATTTAATACTCTATTAAATGATCCTCCAAATTTTAAAGCCAGGTTAATGGTTTTTTGAAAAAATTCAAGAAACGGCATAATATTAGATGTATACGTATCCATGGGGAGAAACTCTCTGCTGATAAAGATGAAAGCGATAAATTTTGCCAAGACTTTTTACAATACGTCACAGAAAAACAAATACCATTAAATACAGTATACAATGCAGATGAAACTGGCCTCAATTGGAAAATATTAGAAACAGAACATTGGTCTCCAGTACAGAATGTACAGTTCCAGAAAGGAAAGCACAAAAGGACAGAATTACACTAATGATGTGCACTAATGCTTCAGGAACCCACACACTTTTTCTGGACATCCAGGGGACTTACAATAATGTTATTCTGTATGAAAAGATTAATAACTTAAATATCCCAAGAAGATGTAAAAGTGTGAAAAACCTGTTAGACGTCAGGTTAGTTAATTTTTACTTTTCGGGTAAATTGTATGCAAAAAGAAATATTCGAAAGGATTTACCTCAGGGGCTTATTTAAAGTCCACTCTTCCCTATATGTATAATTCACATTGAATTATTTAATCATTAGAGATCTAGCTCTTCGAACGTTATGGACTTAATATATTAATATATTACTCTCGGTCCTCGGGGCAGAACGACACTTCGTTTTGCAAATTCGTTTATTTCGTGCAAGAACGCGTCGAATGAGCCTAATTTCATCAAATTTGGTGAGGAAGATAAAATTCTTATAAACATAGTAAGAATAGACCAAGCATGTCCTCTACTTTGAGATATGAAGATTAAGTAGAAAACAACAGAAAGTAGATACTGTGTAGCTCTCTCTCTCTCTCTCTCTCTCTCCTCCCTCCCTTTCTCTGTTTGTGTGTGCATAGTGAGATACAGTCACGTGACATAGGACCTTAGCAGAAAGGCTGACTTATAATCTTAACAATCCTTGCTTTCCAGCAAGGACACAGTCAGACACTGTGTAACACAGTGAGTCGTTTCATCTTTGTTTAACGTTGGCAAACAACAAGGATAAAACAACTCACTGTATTACAAGAGGTGCGTTCCGTATCTTGCATGATGCGCATTATGCATCCATTGTCCTTGTTTAACATTTGGTGAGCAACAAGGATAAACGATGCATTATGCACATCATGCGAGAAACGGAACGCACTCACAGTGTCTGACTATGTCCTTGCTGGAAAGCAAGCAATGTCTTATAACTTAAGTCTTATGTCTTTTGCCTGGCTAGGTCCACAACTTTGCTTTAAGATGCCTTAAGCCATAAGTCGAAAGAGATTAAGTGACAGTAATTTTTGTCTTTAAACTGTTTTTGCGCAGTCTTTAGGCTTTAACTGTTAGACTTAAAACCCAATTCTTACCCCGGATCTACAATCGGGTTTTAAGCCTTAAGTCATAAGAAATGAGCGAATCATAGTCGATTATTCCCCTCGGATTCGACTGTAATTGGTCAATTTCTTATGGCTTAAGTCTTGAAACATTTATTGTAGATCCGGACTTACGGCCTAAAAGCATAATGCCCGTATTCATAGTCAGGCCTTATATTTAAGGCTTCCTTAAATTTATCTTTAGATGCTCTACGAATTATTTCATTGGCTACTGAGCATCTAAAGATAAATTTAAGGAAGCCTTAAGTACAAGATCTGACTATGAATACGGGCCTAAGTTCTGTGGCCGATATCGTCACTTACAACTTAAAGCTTACGGCTTACGACCTCTTAAGAGGTAACACCTATGTAAAATTTAAAAAAAATCAATTTTTTCCTTTTAAAATATACCTTAGGGTCTCAAAAATGAAGTGCAAGTGGTTTTATTGCGATACATAATTTTTTTCAAAAGTTATAGGCTCCTAAAAATTCGATTGTTAACTTAAAAGTATTCACATTCAAAACTTTAAACGCGTTTTTCTCAAAACGGTATTTTTAATCTATTTACTTCAAATTTTAACAGTATTTAACAAATCATATTTTCTAAAGAAATAGAAACTTTTTTATAAGAGAGAGAAAGAGAGATTACCTGAGAACTAAAGATTATTTAAATTTACCAAAAATTACCTTAGATTACCCAAAATTTCATTTGGATTGCCACTGAATTAACTAGCCCTTGTACAAAAACTACCGCAGTAATCAACCCCTTGAATAAAACATTCCTCGCAATAAAAATGCAGCATTTTGTAAATGCACTATTTTAAAATACTATTCTCTTATAATCTGACTCTGCCACACTCAACTATTTCTCTACTTTTTCTCACATCCTACTTTCTCCTTGTTAGAAAAACAAAGCTACAAGACACCCTTTGTCCGTCTCTACTTGATCTTCATGTTTCGAACCTCACGCTCAGTCTAAAGCTGGCGGCACACGATGCTTGTTTTCTTGCTAGATTGTTAGCTAGAATAAATTCTTGCCACCGTATTGGCTACGATGCTGACACTGTTAGTATCGCAGCCAATACGATGGCAAGATTCTAATCCAGCTAGGAATCCAGCAGGAAAACAAGCATCGTGTGCCGCAGGCTTTATTCTCATTATGTTTATGAGTGCTATTTGTGTCACTTTACCTTTATCGTAAAACAAGGATAGAATGACATAAATAGCGTTAATAGCGTCTCCCCAAACGCACCTTTTGTCATCACTAACAGTTACCCATGTGAGTCGTATCCAAGGCGATGGGGTTTCGTTCCCGTTTCGGTGCCCGAGTCGTGGCAAAGCTGAGACCATGGAAACAGTTTCTTAAACAGCAGAACATCGTTCGCAATCGTTGGGGTTCACGTTCACAGTCACTTAAAAATGCGACGTACACGACATCGTAAGTCGAGAGAGAAGTTTTCCTTTTCCTCTTTATTTTTCTTTTCAGTTTGAGTCGATTCAATATTTCTGTTATTTAGTGAGATATACACGGAATTCATTCGTAAACTCACCGTGCACAAATGCGAGACACTATTCAAACCTACGCATACAGACTACATGAAAATGGCTTCCACTCCGAAAGATCACAACCAGCCTTCAATGTGTGGTATTTATTTAGCGATTCTTCTAATCATCTTCGCGTTTAACGGCAAAAATAGTTTTTTAAGATGTTCGTTGGTTTCACGGCTTGACGTAAAATTCGCGTTCAGAAGTTAGATCAGGTTAGTTAGATTGAGCTGCGTAATGGCTAAACGAACAAAATGATGCGCGCGCACGAATATTTAACTTTTAAGGCAGTATTCATAGTCGGTTCTTATTTCAAGACCGTCTTAAGGCTACGTTCCAAAACGTCCTCTCCGAGGAAGATTTTATTCTATATGCTATAATATACGTTATGTGTACTATATATTTCGAGTAAAATTTTTCTCGGAAAGGAAGTTTTGGAACGCAGCCCAAGTAATATTTTAAGACGCTAATGCGACCTTCTGATTGGTTCGTGACACCTTAAGGCTGAATTTAAGACGATCTTGAATATAAGAACGGACTATGAAATATGAATATCGGTCTATATGTAATAAAGTCACTAGATTTCTAAAGTAGCGCAATTGATTTCAGAAATACTGCGTCAAAATGCACAAAGTACACTGCCCGTCATTAAGTCATATTATATTCATAATGTTACACACAAAAAATATAGATTTTGTAATAAATATTACATATATATAAATTATTTATTGTATATGTATATAACATTGGTCGCGTTCAGCAGACTCAACTGTTGCGGAGCGATCAGTGAGCTCTCGCTGCTATTGGACGATCTAAAAGAATACACCAATAGCAGCGAACGCTCACGGATCCACTCCACAAACACTTGAGTCTGCTGAATGCGACCATTGGCTGCGTTCAGCAGAACGTTCGTTTTGTAACTGTTGGAAGTTTCCTTCGCGCTAATTGGATCATACTTTTAGATCTAGAAGAATGGTCCTATCTCAGCAGACAATCATAAAACGGTTGCAAAACTGTTGAGTCTGCTGAACGCAGCCGTTGTCAGCGTGTGATAAAATAAAACAGACGCTCTTGGGCGAGCGAGAATCGTACAGTAAGAGGGAGTTGTTCCTACTGCGCCCGAAGGTAGCCAAAACGCATACGTACGTCGCTCGGCTTTTGTGTGCGTGGCGTTGCGCGGCTCAAATCTGGTAACACTGATTTAGGGCTGACCGTGCAAAGGTGAACATTTACCTACATATATATATATATATGTGTGTTCCTTTACGCGTTTTGCACACGTCAAGTTCGATACTTCAACTTCATCATATAAAGAAATTAGACATTCATGTGATAACTTGATTTACTAAAGAACCATCTTAATAAGTATTTGTACGTGTCTTATTATAGTTTAATAATCTAAATTATAATAATTTAAATTAATCCTTATCCTACAAATCATCGCTGTAAGATAGATTGAATAATTTTTCAATTATGATATTTTTATGTGCATAAAACAACAAAAATTTTACCAAAATGGTATTTATTTATATTATACAAGAGATTGACGAATATAAGACGAGTTTATATTCGACTGGGATACAGCATCTGTAACAAAACGATTTGAATTAAACATTTCTGTATATTTGTATATCGGGACTAAGATCATTACATATAAGGATATTCTATTTTTAACGATCACCTCCAAACTTTTCTTTAATTTTAAGTAAAAAATTTTAGACAGAAGTTGCATGGTGTGGAAGGGAGCAAATAATGGTAAAATCAACTTCTAAAAAATCGATTTTTCAAGATTACGTAAAACTTATTGTTATTTACATTCATATATATACATATATTTTTTTTTAAATCAGTAAAGTTTGTAGGAAATTTTTAGTTCAGCGATTCAATAAATGTTTATATAAAGTATTACAACATAAAATTTGTATTAGCTTACAATCCTGATGCGATGACCCATAGCCTTGGCCGGTAGATTTCTCTTAAATTTAGCACGCACCGATCCACTTGCACCGTGAGGCCGAGTCACTTTGCCCCAAATGGCTCTAACTTTTGTTTTTTTCGTAGTCTTTCCAGGTACTGGAGTTTTATTCTTAGCCTGAAACAATTTCATATGTAAGATATCTATTGATAATCTCTCTCTCTCTCTCTCTCTCTCTCTCTCTCTCTCTCTCTCTCTCTCTCTCTCTCTCAATAGTCTTATTAAATAACTGCTTAAGTAAGTTCTTAACATTCTAAGTACATTTTTAGCAATATAAATTATATTTTCAATCATATCTGAAATAAATTGATTTAATAAAGAATATATATTATATTATTCAAAATATCTAACTTTCACTGTTGGTATTCTCTATTGTATTTGATGTATTCATACATAGTTGTTTCTCAAGTCTTAATAACATTTATAAATTATATTCTTAAATTAATGTGAAACCAATATCCTGCTATCATAAATTTTATAAAGAGAAAATATTATTAAAAAGAAGCAAAGAAATTTTGGCAATATGATTCTATAAAAATATTTTATATGTATGTCACTAGACTTACAACAATAGGTGTAAGTAAGCAAGTTTTTCCTCTAAGTTCTGAACTAATTAACTGACATTAATTTATTTTAAGCTTTAAACTTTATAGTGATTTGGTCAACTTGCTTAAAGCTTATGCTGATTCTACAAGTAGTCGGAAATCTTAAGTTTTAACCAGTCTTAATCTAAATAAGTAATTATGATTTGTTTGCATCTACGAGTTGTTGTACAGCGAATCATTTAGCTCGACTATGGAAAGGAATAAAATCGAATTTGGTCAGTCTTAAGAAAATCAGTAGTCTTAATGATTGATTGTTGGCCAACTTCACCAATTCATCAATAAGGGTATATCTACACAAATTTACATAGCCGCATAAATGTATCCATAAAGAAAATTATCCAATCACATTTTACATGCATCTTTATAAAAGAAATGTGATTGAATAATTTTCTTTATGCATACATTTATGCGGCTATGAAAGATTGTGTGGATATAGTCTAATGCTAATTTTACAATGAGTCGGTAGTCTTAAATCTTATCAGTGAAGTTGACTAACAGCCAACTTGTACGACTAATGCTGATCAGCCAATTTCACAGATTAAGAATAAGACTTCTGACTACCGACTCATTGTACAATCAGCTTTAGGGATTATAATTAAATTTAATGTCAAAAATATTTCTCAGTGAAAAATGTTAGTGTAAACCTCAACAAGACAAATGCTTATTATGTCTGTACACACAAGACAATTTATGTTATAAACAAGCCTTACTTTATATACATAGACACATCGTTTTCCTACGTAGAAATCAGAGTCTTTCTTTGTGCCGGCTCCTTCAACCTTGAGTAAGGCAGTGTGCTCGTGTTGATTGCGTAATCCGCGTTTATAACCAGTGAAAATTGCCTTTGCATATAGACGCCCATGTCTTTTGAAGGGCCTCTTCCTCAGTGGCGTCTCCTCTGGAGCGCCTTCCTTCATCTTGGACACTTTGGCCTTGCTAGTCATTTTCTAATAAAAATCTAAAGATATGATGTAAGCATCAATGTCACGTAAAGCGATCTTTAACATCAAAAAAGATAAAAAAATACTGAGAATAATAAGTATACACTGAATGGTGGAAGAAACCCAGATGTGTACTATTACACATAAAAATAGTAATTAAAAATTGTGAGAAATTACTATGCGTAAAACTCTAAATATTTTGTTAAACATAACGACTGATAAGTGTGCACATGCAATTTCTTGTGTATCATGCATTTTATTAGACCGTAAACGCTAAATGCCACATGAAATGGATCATGATAATCCGTTGGAATCGCTGAAAATTAAGTGAGATATAACAAAACGAATAGTCATAAATTAATCTGATGTAACGTTACACAAAATGTTTTTATTATTTTTGCGAAAGATTAATTACACGTACAGAATTTTTATTATTAAATAAGGAAATCCACTATTATCAAAACGTACCGGACATGTACCACGAACTAAGAGAACAATGATGCTAACAGTGTCGTCAACTCTCGAAAAAAAAAAGCTAGCTTGCTAGACTAGGGTTGCGTTCGGAAATACCACCCAAGTGCCCTCGAAGTGCCGTCGAAATGAATTCCGATCGGAATTATTCCGTTTTCCCTAGAAAACATAATGGCTGCGTTCAGCAGAACGTTTGTTTTGCAACTGTTGGAAGTTTCCTTCGCGCTAATTGGATCATACTTTTAGATCTAGAAGAATGGTCCTATCTCAGCAGACAATCATAAAACGGTTGCAAAACTGTTGAGTCTGCTGAACGCAGCCAATGGGTGCATTCAGTACTACAATCGCTCATTGAGCGCTCAGTGAGCTCTTGCATCTGATTGGTATATTCCGTTAGAACTAAAAATATAGACCAAACAGATACAAGATAGAGTGGGTATAAAGAGAGTGAAACCAATCCTGATTCTCCTTCCTGATTGGTTCCGCCATTTTACGATTAACTATTAGTTAGAGGAAGACGACGTTAGAAAAAGAAAAGGTTAGGATGAGGAATTACGTCATAAATATTTGTCGTAAAATGGCGACTTCCGGTTAATTGGCTTCACTCTCCTTATACCCACTCTAATACAAGAGCTCTCTGAGCGCTCAGTGAGCGGTCGTGGTACTGAATGCACCTATTAGAAATCTAGGGAATAATTGAATAATTCCGATCAGAATTATTCAATTATTGGCAACACTGATCTAGGGTGAAGATGTAGCTATGCGTTGGTTATCCTATGGACGTAACCAATTTGCCGAACCGGCTTTTAATTTGAACATTAATGCACGGCCGGTCAGCAAACGTTAGTAATTCCGGTATTGTAAGCATAACTGTGTTTGCATGTGTTCGCCCCACTCATATGTAGCAACATCATTTATTACGTGTTGTGAGAATCGATGTTGCATCCGTTGGCATTTCTGTCGTATCGATCCAAAATAACAGCGACTACCTGCGCGTAATAGGAAATTTTATATAATTGAATCAACAGCAATTTGACACGAGGACAGAGTCGCTGTAATCTATGACTGTTTATTCATTTCTGAAAATCATGAATTTAATGACGCGTGTATCATATAACTGTTTTGAGTAATGAAATTCATTTTATCCTTGTTTAATCTGATTCATTCTGTTTTCTTCACTTGTTTGTGCAGATGATGTAATCTCCCACACAGACGCTTCGAAATATCAGATGTTGTCCTTGTGTGAAAAGCGGACACGGGGGCAAAACAATTAATAGCAGAATAGCGATTGTTCTGCAATTTTAAGTTCTTCAAAGATTAGTAAATTACGGACAATTGAATATTTGATTTCCAAGGGTGTCACTTGTCTTGCAGATGCTGGCTGGTAAGCCAGTTTTTGTTTCACACAATGACCGCTAGCGATATACAAGGCTCCCTGAAGGAAGCTCTGTATGAAACGTTAACTGGGATTTTGTCGCCACATCATGAAACTCGCAAGGCAGCAGAGCAAAGGATTCAAGCTTTGGAGGTGACTGAGGAGTTTGGTATATATCTGACAGAATTTGTCATTGATCCCAACAGTCATTTGTCCATCAGACAGTTAGCTTCTGTCTTATTGAAACAGTATGTTGAGACGCACTGGTGCTCCTTGGCTGAGAAGTTCCGCCCACCAGAGCTTGACAATGCTGTTAAAGAAAGGATTAAAGAGTTACTTCCCTTAGGACTTCGAGAATCTATCAGTAAGGTAATTTATTCTATTCTCTTAATTTAACTAGAAATAATGTTTTATATAGGGTGAGTCAATTAAAGTGTTATAGATTTATTTTTTGGAAACAGCATTTTAGAGAAAAATGTTTCATACTAAAGTTTAGTTTGAAAGAGGACATAAGATGATGCTATTGGTTTGACCTTGGGAAATTATTTGAAGATCACTATAAAGCATTATAAATTTCTTAAATAGAACCCCATATATTTTATTACATATTCTTAAGGTTCGTCTGCATAGAAGTTTAAACAGTTGTAGGGTTTCAAATCAAAGAAATTGATCAATTCTAGTATTTTCCTTGTATTTTATTGTGATCGGTTGGTGTCCTACGATTTAAAACTAAGACCGTCTACGACTTCTATGTGGTCGACCCTTTATAGTTTCTCTCTATAGAGAGCTTTCTAAAACACTATAATAAAATATTTTTTCATTAAATATTTTCGAGTTGTAATATGGGATCTACAATAGAAGTCATAGTGGTCGTAGGGTTTAAAGTTGTAGTGGTTGTAAAGTATAAAGCCCATTCTACAATTGCATAAGCATAGTTATAAGTGGTTGTAGTTGTAAGAATTAACTAATCACAGTCGATTATTTTCTTCATGTTTGACTATGATTGGTTAATTCTTACAACTACAACCATTTACAACTACGCTTACGTAATTGTAATTATAATAATAAAATTGTAATTGTAATAATATATATATATATATATAAATGGACTTTAAAAGTCATAGAAAATTAACCAATCATAGTCTATTATTCTTGTTATATTGGACTGTGATTGATTAATTTTAAGACTTAAGAACCTATGACCACTGTGACTTCTATTATAGACCCCATATAAAGCTCGAAAGTTACACTGTCATTGATATTAACATTACCTAAGGTAGCCAATAATGGCATCATCTTATATCCTCCTCCAAATCTACAACTTTTGTATGAAACATTTTTCTCTAAAATGCTTTGTTTCCGAGATATAAATTTGTAACACTTTAACTGATTCATCCTGTAGTCCTATTTGTATCTTTACATAGTGATAGAATATTTTATTTTACATTTGACTTGCAAGGTGTCAGGCAGGACTCTATTTTAGGTACGAACTGCAGTAGCCTATGCAATATCTGGTATAGCACATTGGGATTGGCCTGAGAATTGGCCTGGATTGTTCGATGTACTTGTTAGCTGTTTGAGAGAAGAGAGCGAATATGCTGTTCATGGAGCAATGAGAGTGTTAACAGAATTTAGCCGAGATCTGACGGATGCTCAATTGCCTAATGTAGGACCTGTTATTCTTCAAGAGATGTACAGGATATTTCAAAGTGAAAATGTAATTTTAATAGAAGATCGAGCCGTCTTCTACATATTTCTTTTATACATCTTCTTATTTTTAACTTCGTGTTTTTTGTAGCAGTATTCGATTAGAACACGCGGACGTGCAATTGAGATCTTCATAACGATTACAACTTTGGTTGCTCACACTGGAGCGTGTGAGAAGGGATTTATAGAGCAGTATCTGCAGCCAATCATTCCTATGTTCTGTGAAAAGTTTGTTGAATGCCTCAGAGTGCCTAATGGTCAAACTAGTGATTGTGGATTCAAAACAGATATTATTAAAGCTATAAACTGTCTTGTTATGAAATTGCCTAAATATATATCGGAGCTTTTACCTCAAATGCTGCCACCCATATGGGAAACTTTATGTCAAAGTGCAAAGACTTATCAAGAAATAACAGTCAATGCTGATAAAAATATCAACGATAAAGAAATCGATTCTGATGGTACATATATTATTCTCGTAATAAATAAATATAATCAATAATCAATATTTTGACTACAAGTATATGTGTACATATTTTCCAGGTGAAATAATTAATTCCAACAGTTTGATTATTGCGATTTTCGAGTTCGTTCAAACTATTGTGGATCGTAAGAGGTTTATGAATCTGTTGGATAATATGCTACCAGAAATTATGTATTATCTAATAATATTTATGCAAATAACGGTCGACCAGATTCAGCAATGGACAACCAATCCGAATCAATTTGTCGAGGAAGACGAATGCACCTTTGACTATAATGTCCGAATCTCGGCTCAAGAATTTTTAACAGTGAGTAAACTCGAGTATACTGCCACAGACCTGGAAAAATTATAGAAAGTAAATTGATCAGACAAAACCTGGAAAAGTCATAGAAAAATATAAAAGGACCAGGAATTTCAAACTTTGTTCACAATTTTTTTAAATTCTTAGATGCTCTTATTTTAAAAAGTATGACTTTTTAAATATATTTAATATTTATATTCAAAATTTATCATTAATGCTATTATTGAATTAACAAGATTTTCAATTAGAATTTATAATATTATTGATAGAAAATCATTTTTTTAATGTAAAAATAATAAAAAATAATTGAAACATTTTGAAATGCATTGCTTTGCAAATTTTCATGGAAATTAATATTTTGCAATTTATAGGCTCTTATTAGTCATTTTGAGGAGAAGGCGGTACATATTCTTTGTGATGTAGTTACGCAACATATCGAAGCAACAAAGGCGTTACAAGCTAATGACGATGGTAGCAACACCAACGAAAGTTGGTGGAAATTACGGGAATCCTCTATTTTGGCATTGAGTCTTTCTAAGAATTGTGTCATTGAAAAACAGCAAGCTGGAACATTGCACTTCGATATTATTAGATTCCTAGATATAGTTGTTTTGGGAATGTTAAATGATTCGGGTAATTAATTGTATGTATATGTGTATATATATAATATGTATGTATATATAGGGTGAGGCATACAACTTGCATACCTCAAAAAACTTGTAAACTATAAGTTGTATGAAAAACTGTCATATACAAAAGTTGTATGACTTCGGAGGGGGCATTACATAGTGCATAAATTTATTTTATAAGTGATTATTAGGTTTTGACATATTTACGAAATGGAAGCCTAATAAATTGTTATTTATTATCTCAGGATCGCCTCCGTTGCTTCTTGGTCGTTGCTTATGTCTCGGTGGACGATACGCCAAGATAATGCCACCGGAAGTAAGTTCCCGATTTCTGGAAGCGACAGTTAACGGTTTACAGGAAAACCAATCGCCTTGTATACGCATTAGTGCTGTTAAGGCAATCTATTGGTTTAGCGAAGCGTCAACTGGGAAGGATCCCATCATCAACATAATACGTTGCCATATGCCCAATATTTTTCAAGGGTTGTTTAATCTAGTTAGTCAACCTAGCACAGACGTTTTGACTTTGGTCATGGAGACATTTCAAATGCTAATTTGGGTAATGCCGACGCTCTAATTTTTCTTGCGATGTATTTTTGTTATTTAAGTTACTTGAATCTTATTTGTGTTTATAGCAACATAAAGAATTTACAGCATCAGTGGAAAACAAGATTTGTCCTTTGACAATTGCAGTGTTTGTAAAGTTTCATAGCGATCCGGCAATCTTAGATATATGCCAGGACATATTCAAGGACTTGACTCAGAATCCGAGTTGCATCGAACCTTTGCAAACTCGTATAATACCGACTCTAACAAGCATGATGATAACTCCTATAAATAAATCAAAGGATGGTATAAATGGTATGTTTTTCTTTCTCCTTTTTCTTTTTTCCGTTAAATTTAATCATTCAATTTAACCGGGCCGTTAGCTTTTTGTTTTTTTCGTCAGAGGGATCTCGAGCTGTAGCGTTGGATGTGTTGAAAGTTCTGGTGCAATATTCGCCGACGCCTCTGAGTAACACTTTGGTGGAGACTGCTTTTCCGACTGCCTGCCATTGTATTCTCAACTCGGAAGATCACGCGACGCTGCAGAGTGGCGGGGAACTCATACGCACGTATTTATCCCTGGCAGCGCAGCAGATTATCACTCATCGAGACAACGAAGGGCAAACTGGATTACAATACATACTGCAGATAATTGCTCAGCTCTTAAATCCACAGGTGACATTACTGTAATTGCCGGCTTGTTTAATTTATCGAAAAATTAGGTACCCTCGCTAGGAATTAGTTACATACATATATGTGTATGTGGAATAATTTCAGTCGAGCGAATTTACTGCTACTTTTGTTGGGCGTTTGGTTACAACACTGATTCGAAATGTGGGGGACAGTCTGGGTGAGAATCTCGACTTGCTGTTGAAAGCTGTGCTGAGCAAGATGCAGAGCGCGGAGACGTTAATCGTAATGCAGAGTCTGCTAATGATTTACGCGTATCTTATAAATACGCAGTTTAATGCTGTGCTAAATTTTCTGTCAACTGTGCCTGGGCCAACGGGACAGAGTGCACTTGCGTTTGTACTATCTGAGTGGGTCAGTAGACAGCACTTGTTCCTCGGTAGATATGATCGCAAAGTTGCAACAATCGCATTGTGTAAAATCATGGAATACGGAGTCACTCATGAAGATAGTAGATTGGACGAAATTGCGGTAAAAGGAGATATGATCATCTCAGGTTTGTAGCGTTCTTAGACTATTTTGATTACACAAAAAAGTTAGGCAAATTAGTGAGTGTACGATGAAGTGAATTTTTTCCATAGATTTTGTACAGGGTGACCCATTTTAATCTATCGCTCCAAATATTTCCGTTCCCTTGCATTTTACAAGAAAATGTTTCAGACAAAAGTTGTATGGCTTCAAGGGAGCCATAAAATGGTACCATTAGTTTGACTTTGGATCGCTTAAAGGTCACATGAAGGTCATCTTCAATTTCTTGAATTAAACCCACTATTTTTTATTACATATTCTTGTAGCTTACCTCGAAAGCTTTCCAAAACACTATAATAAAATATTTTTTCAGTAAGTATTTTTTCGAGTTATAAGGCTCGAAAGTTACAGTACAGCCGGCATTAGCATTACGCAAGTTGTCCGACCGATGGCTAAAACCTTTTGAATGTTGTTCAGGATCATGTCCTAGATAACATTTGTCAAGATCAAGGCCTACTACCTAATCCCGAAGTTTTGACATTTAAATTCCAAACACCCTGTATAAAATCAAAACTGATGCATTAAAATTTTACGAAAAATATTTTTTACAAGTTTTTTTTTTACAAAAAAAGCACTAAAGAATATTAGATATTTTTTCGTCAGAATCACAGACTTCTATAAATAGACTGCCGACTTCACCTCCATGTTTGAAGATAGCACTGGGCAGCACATAAATTCACATAATTTCACAATAAATTCACATAAATTCACGCGAGATACTCACAGACAAGACGCATACATACGCATATGTGAACTAAAACAAGGACAGCTCGGAATCAGGTTCATCTCTTTCTATCATATTGAGTCAGCAGTCTAGTTATAGTGAATTATAATTGGGGAATATACAGGAATCGAAGATGGTGTGAGGACCAGAAGCAAAGCTGAATCACAGCCTTACGAATGGACTACGGTGCCTGTACTTGTAAAAATTTTTAAAGTAATAATCAACGAATTGTCGAATGACATCGAAGCCATTAGCGCTAGCCAAGATACAGAAGTAAGTACTGGCCATGTTTTTATATTTTTGCCTAATCTTTCATTGTTTGTTACTTTATTTTATCAAAATAATATGTGAAATTTGATTAAAATATTCCTTCATATCAACATCCAGGTTTCCGATGATGAGGATGAAGAAGATGATGAATTGATAGATCCTGGAAACGAAAGTGCAAATATTTTACGTAAGTTATGTATAAATAATCTACACATTGCGTAACATTTAGAAATTATTAATAAGAGAATGCTATTAAATATGATTTCTTTATAGAATTTGAAGGTACAGATGAAGATAATGATGATGAAGAAGATCCAGAATTATTGCGGGACTCTATTTATCATTTGAACCTTGGCCAGTATTTACGTGATTTCTTGCTAAACTTCTCTACTCATCATTGTTTCCGCATGTATATCCAACACCTGAATGTGCCAGAACTAAAAGTCTTGAATAATATAAATATCAACGCGCTTGTGTAATAGAATAAGTAATTTAGATGATAGAAACAATTTTGAAATTTCATAATAAACGACCAGTCATTTTTATACTCGATTAGGTAATTATAGAGAGTAAGACGCCCCTTTGCAGGAGGGGGGTTAGAGTCGAAGGTCAGAGTTATCTGACTTTTCATGTAAAGCAGTGAAATAATTACTAATTTTAACTGTTAATAATAACTGGCTAAAACTTGTTGGAGGTCACTCAGGATCATGACCTTGACAACATATGTCAAGGTCATCGGGGCTGACTTCCCTCATCAGCATAATTACCCTCGATTTTACACCTCGTTTTTATATTGTTTGAAATCAAGTTTCGTCTCATTTTACATTGTTCAACAAAAATGATTTCTTTTATTCAAGTACAAAAACGAGAGCATTGACAAGATAGTATTAAAGACATTCTCATAGGGGTTAGCATGATTTCGGAACAGGAAATTGAAGAACGCTAACTCCAAACATAAATACATAAATCACCTGTTCCAAACACAAATATACAATGAGAATTTTTTTATTTAATCATTATTTTATCATTAAAAGATGTACATACAACCGGTCACAGAACGGTTGCAACACTTTCCGATGGGTTTCGGAATGTAACTTTCTCACCGAGCGATTAGTTCTTAAAGATGCAAACCACAATAGAAGGAATATGGAATTAGGAATAAGCATGGTGTAATAAAGAAGAGGTGTGCTCGTGAGGACCACTGATTAGACAGCAGATAAATTGAATTTCTGATTTATTAAAAGTACAGTTTAAAAGAATAAACCACCCAACCACCATACTTGGAATCGTGTACTATGTGCACTTCGGCCATTTTGTTGCAACATTTTTGAAATCAGGCCGGAATCAGACTACGCATTGAAGATTGAGATTGAAGATCGAAGATTGAAATTTGACCATTGAGGACAAAGGAATTTTAGCTCCTATTGTTTTGATTGGTCAAATTTCAATCTTTCAATCTCAATATTCAATGCGTAGTCTGATTCCGGCTTTACGGTACTTTAGAAATCTAGTAACTTTAAGAACTCCCTAGGAATTCTGGCGCGAATGACAATGCTTGTTTTCCAGCAAGGACATAGTCAGACACTGTAACACAGTGAGTCGTTTCATCCTTGTTTAACGTTGGCAAATAACAAGGATGAAACGACTCACTGTGTTACACAGTGTCTGACTATGTCCTTGCTGGAAAGCACCCTGTGTCCTTGCTGAAAAGCAAGGGATGGAATCGCCATAAGGCCGGAATCAGACTACGCATTGAAGATTGAAATTTGACCAATGAAGGCAAAGGAATTTTAGCTCCTATTGCTTTGATTGGTCAAATTTCAATCTTCAATCTCAATCTTTAATGCCTAGTCTGATTCCGGCCTAAGGCGGGAATCAGCCTACGCATTGAATATTGAAATTAAAGATTGAAAGATTGAAATTTGACCAATCAAAACAATAGGAGTTAAAATTCCTTTGTCCTCACTGGTCAAATTTTAATCTTCGATCTTCAATCTCAATCTTCAATCTCAATCTTCAATGCGTAGTCTGATTCCGGTCTAAGAATGATCGGAACCCTGATGGTACCTGCACACTGGACGCGGAAACGTTTGCCGCGTGGCAAAATGTGACGCGGTAGCCAATGAGCTTACAGCTCCTAACATATTCATTGGTTACCGCATTGCATTTTACCGCGCGGTAAGCTTTTCCGCGTCCAGTGTGTAAGAGCCATGAAAGCTTCACGGTTCTATTGGGGCCCATGTTGAAGATTCTAAATAATTTTTTAGGTAAATCAAGCCAAATCATATTTGATCCTTGTAATGAACAATAAGAGTAGTCGAGATTTTCCTGGATTTTCCGAAATGACCCCACGATCCGTAATGTAAGTTTCCTCGGCCGGAAGCGTAGTGAACGCAGAGCGCAGGTGAGCGCCAAGCGGCGTGTGTGTTGGCATGACGTGTTCGCCATCTTGAATGTAGGCACACGCATCGGTGGAAGTGGAAGAGGGGATTCTTCTGTCAATCGGTCACCAACGGTGGAGAGTCTCGTTCCGTTGTCGCCTTATTCCATCGCGGCTGTGCACGGTTGTGTTGGTCTGTTTCCGCGGTTTTCACGGAGATTTACTGGACTCGTACGATCATCCTACTAAGTATCGATACTGGTAACATCCCGCGCTGTTTAATCGCGTGATCGACTCTCGATAGAATGCAGTTGCCGTGTGCTGGATGGCAAGTGTTTCAACACTGTAGCACTTCCAGCGTCTCTCTGAGTGAGAGGTTGACCTTCGCGCCGTTGATTTCGATTAGATCGGTCGACGGTTAGTTCGACGACGATGATCACTACAAGGCGGGACGCCTCGTAGAATCTTAACTTGGGCGAAAAGAGCGATTTTGGAAGAAATATTCGAGAGACATCAGGAAGTTCACGCTCCAAAAATGGCCTTCGCATTCGCGTGCGACCTGACGTGATGATTGTTACGCGAGATCGTATTATAGAGCTTTGCTCCATATCCAGGTCATTCCGAATCAAATCATCACTTATAGTTCAATGAGAAATTTCTGAAGTAAACAGGACAATCTCTAGTGAGGAGAAAAGAGGAAAAAAACGCGAGTGACTTCTCGATTATGACATCGCACGGAAAGTATAACTCGGGGGATGCCGAAACTTTCTAGACGATGAATCGCGAACGAGCTTTGAGCCCCACGCAAATTCGCGGGTAGCGGTTTGCCAGAAAAAAAAGGTATATCGATGAGCATGGTTCTGATTTTGTTCTATGTATTGCACCTTTACACCAGAAGATTTGTCATGATTATTATCTTCTGTGGCGGGCTCCATAGCTTAATGCCTCACGTTGGTAACGCGGATTACGTGATAAAATGAAACTTGATTTCTGTGAGAGACAGCATTACTCTCGAGAATCAGAAGCAAATGCTTATTTGCTGAATGTTCAAGCTGTATTGATAAAATTGTTTTTAGTTTACTTTTTAACGCTACAATTGTATTAATAATATTGATTTGTATATAAATAACTTTGTGTAAATAACTTAAAGAAGATAGTTTAATGAAGTAAAGATTATTAACCTACACAAAATTCCATAGGACTTTCCATACGGTGGATGTGTTTTAAATGGGGAACAAAATAGATGATTTTGGAGGTATGAGACTCTCGACTATGCAAGAAAACAGTAGAAACGAGGTAAGAAAGTCTGGAAACCAAGTTTCTAACAATGCAACCATGATGGATAATGCTAAGTATGGAGAAGATAACGAAATGACAGACAACTTAGAGAAGGAGGAAGGTTCTGTGGTATCCAATCTTCCTCTTTTGTTTGCTAATGGTTATCCCACATCCCTAGAGAAAATTACCATGGTACATTGACTATATTACTTATATTTTTTTAATTTGAAGATAACTGTCTCTATAAAATTTTTCGTAATCCAAGAAATTGTATCCAAAGATATAATAAAACTATATTGCACTATAAATCTATTCTTTATCACTCCATTGGTCTGCACTAAAACTTTTTTATTTTTTGACAAGCTTTAAATATATACATCTATTTTAAATATAATGAGTATATACTTTACTTGTAAAAAGCAAACTTTATATTACAAGTTATATTCTACCTGTGAATTGAATATATCAATGAATACTATTCTAGGTGCAACTAGAACGTTTTATATTATTTATGGTTCATTGCTCACTGGGCCATGACACAACTAAGATTATTAATAAGCCTGAGTGGTGGCCTCAAGATATTAAATTTTCAAGTCCATTAACGAGACCCAAAAAGATCAACGATGTAAGCAACCATCAAATAATATATCTCAACTACAAAACATGTATCCATTAATCAAGTCCTACTTTTTGAAAAGTACTAATCCTAAAATATCATTTCAGAACTGGATGGCAAATCTAAAGAAATTAGTTTTTCGATGTTACACGTATCACAGAAGTGAATATTTGTTACGTTTTTGTTCCTATTTAGCTCAGTATCCACATGATGAATTAGAATATGTTAATAATTGGGATTCGACAACTAGTCTGTATCACAAAAGTACAGGAAAACTACTAGTGACATTTCGTAATGAAAACATGGTGTGTACAAAAAAATATGTATATATATATATATATATATATACACAGGTATACTGACATACAGAATAGTCACTTTGTCAAATACCCCAAATAATTTGCTATATCTCTCCTTGATTTAATGAATGAGAAAGCTTTCTGTGCCTACAGCATTATGACAGAAGAAATGACAGCCCCCGAAGAACATTGTTATCCCATAATGCGTCTTCGTCAAGCAATAGAAAAGCAAAGCAACAAACTCCCATGATGGTTCAACCACCATGTGATGATATTTATCTTTGTGACAATTGCGATGCTGAATTTGTAGGCCTTGCGAATATGAAGGTATTAGTACCAGATTATTGATTTGTTCTCTTGCAAAACTAAAATCCATATGCATAAACGATACTTGACTATTATTTATATACTTGATTTTTCTATTTGTGCAATTATCTAGGAACATGAAAAAATGTGCTGCGAACAAGATCATGGTGGATGTAGTGGCTCGCGCTCGTCCACACCAGATTTGTCCATGGTCGAGCCTGAGCTACAACAAGATCAATTTCTGGAATACTTTCAATTACGATCAAGTAAGACTGAATCCAAATCGGTTGATGTAAAAAACATGAGTGCTCCCGATGGTATCGCCAGACGCACCTCTGGACGTGTTAGGAGTTCTCTTAATTTTACAAGATTCGCCACCATCCCGTTCTCATCACCTGCTGGCATAATGCTAACCAAAAGGTCAAAGGCTATGACTGAAGAAACGCAGCAGGAACGATTAGATAGAATAGAAAGGCATGTCATCGCGCCGATATTGAACGATTCGTGTAGACCAAAATGGCTGGACACGGAAATAGATAACGATAGATGGATAGTGACTTATAAACAGAATCGGGATAAACGCACTGACCATTATGTGCATCAATATAAATTTGTGAATTCCTCTAAAAGCAAACCAAGTATGTATTTTACTGTAAACTGACATAACTTTTCTTAGGTATATATACATGTGTCATTAGAACAAAAGACTTAAAAACTAGTTTAAGTAGTACTAAAAGAACTTTTGATAGACAAAATTTTAAAAAATAATATTTAAAGAGAAAGCTATCAGAACAAGCACAATAAATAGTATACAAAATAATTAAAAGATTACATACGAACAAACGCTTCGTCTTATGTTCAAGCCATCTTCAGCGACGCAGACTATAAATAATAAAAAAAATACAGCTTAATATAATTCAATACTCAATATAAATTATTGTAATAAAAAAAGATTTTATTGTCTGCGTCGCTGAAGACGGTTGAACATAGGCCGAAACATTCGTTTTTATGCAGTTGAAAATATTAATTAAATCGATATTGTCTAACATTTTTATTTTATGTGTATTATTTACCGCGCGCATTTACTTCTATAACTTCTTCTTTAAGTATTTTTTTTTTAAACTAGAACTTAAGGGAATCCTAAAGTCGTTCTGTTTCACCATGATTACGTTTTAGGAAAAATTGACTTCATGGATTGCAAAATTTTTTTTACAGAATTAAAGAACACAGAAAACACGATTTCATGAGAAAATCGAAAAAATTAAAAAATTCACTTTTTTTGGCAGGTACAACTGTCACCTGAGAATAACATTTGCTTGATATAAAAGTTTTACAGCCTGTAGATTGAAAATAAGCGTGAAGCAGGATTTAGATTACTTGAACGAACAATACTGAGTTTGTGGAATTAAGATTCAAAGCGTAGAAAAAAAAATATTTCTCTTAAAACGAAATTACATGCTTTGCAAAGACTTACTTTTTTCCCTCTTTTACAGATTCGAAAATCCTTTTCCAAGATTAAAGTATACACAATAGGCCTGTTCTTTTTGGTTGAACTTTTGCACCAGTTCATCTTTCTTCCTCTTCTTTCTTCCTGGAGAGAAAAGGAAGAAAGATGAACTATTGTAAAAGTTCACCCAAAAAGAACAGGCCTATTGATACATGTCTGTGAGATGGAATTTATTCTAAGAATGACAAAAAATTTCGAAATTGAAATCTTAAGAAAAATTTTTTGTCGTTCTCGGCATAAACTCCACCTGACAGACACGTATTAATGCATATACTCTAATCCTGGAAAAGGATTTTCGAATCTGTAAAAGAGGAAAAAAATAATTATTATACAAAAATTATGATTAGTCGGTAATACAGACGGCTTTAGAATCCCCTTAAAAAATTAAAAAGGAAAAATCATAGTACAGATTGATAGGACCATTATATTTTTTGTTCTGTTTCCCTATTTTTTACTGCTTTTGCATTGCTCCCTATGTAAATGAAATAATAGAAAAGTAATTTGAGAGAAGTAAAGATAATAGAAACAATAAAGTATAGAAATAGGCTCAACTATACTTTTTATAAATAAAGAAACAAAAATAGGATTACATTTTTTCAAAAATACTTTGATAGCAATCAGATTTGCCATCAAGTTATGCCAGCAGGCTCTGTTCGGTTTCTGCTCGCAATCTGCTGTCAGGTTATGCAGCAGACTGTTCAGTTTTTGTCACCAATTTGCTGTCATAGCATATCAGCAGGCTTTGTCATATTTTTGACAGCAGTTTGCTGATAATGTCTGATACAAACTCTGTGCATAATTTATTGCCTTTCTGCAATCAAAAATTGGTAACAGGCTCTGCTCAAAATCTGTTTTCGCAGGCTTTGCTATCAGAGTAGTTAATATTATATAAAATAGTTTAATATTAAATCTGTTAGATATTTTATATAGGAAGATTACATATACACGCGCACGCACACACATATATATATATTTATGATCCATATTTTCTCTTCAGTGCTGAGTATACAGTCGCAATTACTCTACGCCACATGCAGACCTATTTATGTTGTTCTCACTCGACTCAACGAGAGCCAAATTGATGAATTAAAAAAGGATCCCTCAAAATATCAATATCCTCAGAGGAGTATTAATGTCCGAAAACTTTTATTAATGAAAAAAGCAGGACCGGCGTGTAAAACGAAGTTGAGAAAGACGGCCCATACACAAAACGTATTTGTATCTTCGAAACGGAAGGCGCCACTGGAGGATGATGTAGATACGATTGTCGTTGAAGAAGAAGCCAACATTAGTGCATCAGCTAAAGAAACTTTAATCGCGCTTGCCGCTGTGAAATCATTTACGGATAATGCCGAGGCTACCAAACCAGCCAAAGAGAAAAAGTGCCCATCACATACGATAATGTTGATTGATCTCTGTTCGTCTGACGAAGAAGAGAACGATTTGAATACTCGGACATCGTGCGATGAGAACAGAGATCCCATGAACACCGCGGAGTCTTCAATCACAAAGTCCTTGTTACGAAAACTATCACCGAAACAAACTTTACGCAAAACTTTGCATTTACCTCGCACACTCATCGATAGACTGGTTATTGAATAGCATACTGAATGAAGATGAGAACAAAAATAAATATCAATTGTTGAATGTACTATTTGAAAAAAAAAATACGTATGCTTTTCTCTAACTTTCGTAAAAATGCGAAATTAATGTACAGTGAGCTATTGCTTATTATTATATAAGTGATGACTTACAACTTGTACATGTGTTATATTTCTTATATTTATTAATAATTATTAATACAATAGTTCAATTTTTGTGTTAGGTTATTATAAGACTGTTATGATTTCGAATCTTTGAATAAAAAACTGAATTGTATTACATGAATAGAACATCGATTTAGAATCAGATTGCGTTCAGTTACAGAATATAAAGTGTTTCTCCTACCATGTTTAAAAAAATATGAGAGAGAAAATGAATGAGTTCAAAAATGAATGAGTGAGCGTGAGAAAGAGGAAAGGGGAAGGAGAGGGAGGGAAGGAGGGAGAGAGAGAGAGAGAGAATTGTGATAAGGGGGAAAGAATATATTGGGACATCGCATGACAGTTTTAAATAATAAGCAATTAAAATTGATTTTCTATGATTTGATTATTATTTACGTGCATAGCAATAATATAATGAACATAATGATATATATCGTTACATTCTTTCAAAGCATGCAGAAATATGAGTTGAATGATTTTTAATTGCTTATTTAAAAACTATTACATCAATATTCAAAGTTAACTTATCTCAATTGCTGTATTATATTCTTTTAAACTGAATAGGAGACCTCCTCTAGTAGTTTGACATATATATGATAGTCAAGGAATGCAGTTTATCTTGCGGAAATCTACTATAATCTATTATAATATTAACATAAGTTTTGATTCATGTAAATGGATAATTTAAATAGAAATGTGTAAACATACAATACTGAACAGGATATGTAAATGCACTATTTAATACTTATGGCAAGTATTACAAAATTTTACAATAGCATTGGATAAAGATTGAAAAGTGATTTCGTTTTGTTTTAAATACAGGTGCGTATCTCCTGCCAGAAAAGAAGATCAAAGAGATAATTTTATGTCTCCGTAATCTCCGCGCTAATCGCAGATTTATTACTAAGAAAAAATTTTGCATCTGTTTAGTATTAAAATTGTTTATTATTCATGGAGAAGTACATGAATATTTCTATTTGCAAGAGAGATACAGTTTGCGCGTTATAATACATACAGTTCGTTTATAATTTTTAGTCTTGTTTTTTCTTTGCTCCGAATAGCTTTCCTACAAAAAAAGAGAATAATTTACCCTTCCAATCCTTTTCGATGCGTTTCAAAACTAGTCGCTTCGTGGAAATATTGTGAAGTGGGCCGAATGCTAGCGCAACAGCTGTACAGGCAAGGCATATGACATTATAAGGCATACTGAAGTCAGGAGTCGGAAGACTGATAAGCAAGGACTCTGTCCGTAATTGTACTAGATAAGCGTCCCTCGAAGCGTTAAAACTGTAAGTTTAATAATTGATAATCACTTCAATTGTCGCCTATCTGTTTATGATAACAACAAGAAAAAATTTTGTGTTGTTGCTTAGCAAAAGAGACAATTGCTAAATAAACGAACCTTGAAGTAATTGTACTTCCATCGAGCGGCAAAGCGGTGTAATTTCTAGCTATGGGCAATAAGGCTGTAACTATAGCTGGTCCCATGTAAAATCCATGATTAGCGTCCGGCGGATATTCCTGCCATTTGAGGAATAAGTAATCCATATCGATAGTGATTTTCGTTATCGAGTGCGGCGGCAGGCGCAGGATTAATTCTAAATAGTATGGACTTTTCCTCTCCCTTCCAGGTAAATAACGTTGCGCCACTGTAATAATAAAAAATGTACCAATATTTAATCATGTTGTAGTTTTCATAATAATAAAACGTTTTTTGTAAATTTTACTGATCGCCTAAATCATACACGTTTCATAGCGAATAAATTTCCTGGCAACTCCATTTATGTTATCTTACATTCATTATTTTATGTTTACTTACACGGATGTACTCGTTGCTCATTACAGGTTATTGTAATGGAATTTAAATAAACTAGCAAGTACCACGGAATATTTTCTAATAAGATTATATCTAATGCCTGCCAGTGATTGTTGTACAGTTTAGTCACTAAACTGCCTCTTTCTTGACCATATCCTGAAAAATTAATATATATGAATTAATTTATTAATAATCTATATGAATATCTATATTGATTAAAGGAAAAGGTAGACTCCTGCTAGTAATATGGGATCCACTTGAAATTCTATAATACGATTTCTTGTAAAAGGTTTTTTAATTTGTCCTTAGGTATCAAAATTGTGAAACAATTACCGTCACAATGAACGTAATATTTTTCTTGGCAATTGATATTTATTACGATTCTATTTATTACTATATCAAAGTTTTTTCATATGATTTTCAATATCTTATGATTTTCAAAATTTAACGTAGTTTAAAATTCGTGAGTTTATACTATAAATTAAGCCTTAAAGTGCTATTTTTCTATTTTGAGAAGGTAAATTTGAATAATTATATTTTCATTAGGACATAATTAAATGTAAAGTTTGTTAATTAATGCTTTTATATTTTTGGGCCTCCTACCTTGATAGCAAAGCCTGTGAAAACAGATTTTGAGCAGGGCCTGCTACCAATTTTTGATTGCAGAAAGGCAACAAATTGTACCCAGAGTTTGTATTATCTGACATTATCAGCAAATTGCTGTCAGAAATATAACAAAGCCTGTATTACCTTTATAATTTTCATCTCATTTCAAAATACACAATCGACTCCCAGGATATTGATCATGTAACTTTTTCCCTATGGCGGAAACATGAAGTAAAAATTTTTCGTATGTTGTGTGTATCTGTATATGTAAACATACATATATAAAAATTTTCACTTTTCATCACGTTTTCGCTCTAGAGAAAAAGTTACATGATCAATACCTAGTTTGTGACTATCAAAAATCTGTGCATTATAAAATATTGCGCAGTATAATCAAATTGAGATAATGTACAGCATTTTGATAGTTTGAAACTGATTCGATTGTATTGGAAACCGTTAATCTGAAATAATAAAAGATTCAAAATAATGAAAAATGGAAACAACTCTAGTTTGCATAAATTTAATTTAGAAAATTAAGAAATATAATTAACAAAAACAAATTGTATTCATATGCATGAAACTGTGAAATATTTTCCGTAAAAATTTGCTCATTAATATACAGGGTGCGAGGAACTAACTGTTACTAAGAAAAAACACCACAATTCTGACAATTATAAACTGTGACTCAGCCATAACAATGGTAGCTTGGTCCCCTGGTCTAAACTTCGATGTTTTTTAGAGAACACCCTTGCCTGCAAAATACCTCTCTAAATATGTACATCGAAGTTTGGACGCGCTCAAAACATGTCTTCGCCGAGAATGGCAGCTGAATGTTTGGCAAGTTTGGCGGTTTTACCCAGGAAGATCCTGTATATACATATACATATATACAGGATGTCCCGAATCTAAATGTCTGAACTTCGGGAGCGTATAGAGGACCGATAAACTAAAAAAAAGTCCTGTAGAAATATGCTCCTTTTTACTTCGTTTTAAAGAAAATCGCAAAAAAGATAAAACGTAGTTGTTTCGTTCCTGCCTCTGAAATATTATCGTCGCTGAAATCGTGCACGAAAACAATAATAATTCCGTTTTCAGGTGAAAACTTTTTTTGTTTGTTTACATTTCTATGTAACAAAAAATATAGATGTATTTATAAGAACTTTTTTATATAGAACATACCAATAATATACCTATTCGCATAGAGGATTGAAGGATAATATATTGCGTTATTTTTTGGTGCACTATGTACTGCAGCGATATTAAATATTCCTCTGCTGGAATGAGCTCTGATGTCATATACTGCTATTTCATTTTGCTGTCCACCACGCAAGCTAACAACTTTTGCACTCGGCGATGGCGTTAGTTCATATATGTGATTCGTATTATTATCTGATATATCAACATAAATATTACTTAGTGTTGCAAGCGGACATGCGCCTTTAAGTCCCATTCCAAAAAATTTTCGTATCGACCAATCCTGTGCGAATTAAAGGCATGAATAATCGGCAAATATATAATTTGTAATAATGACATCATGTAGATCAACTCACCTGATTCGCATCTATCATTGTATCATATATCAAAGAAACAGTTTGTCGCAGTTCTAAAGATGTCCTCGTACAGGCTGCGTTGCGACATATTGACCGAAAATGTATCCCAATGGAATGATAATTTGTATTATGAATATGCGCAGAATTTAATAACGTAGCTAGACCTCTCTAGAAGAAAAAACAAATGGTTGATTATAAATCAATATAATGAATATTAATACAGATGTAGTAGTACGGTATGTAATTTGTGAGTACCTTGGAATCGCAAGGTAATAGTTTTTTAAATGGTGTTAGATTCTCGGTACACACTATCTCTCTCGGTAATGACGAATAACGCAAATGACTAGAATTTACTGGTCTATCTGTAACACTAGTGAGACGGAAGGTAAACTCTGGCGACATGCTATTGGAGGTGTCAACAAAATTCAGAGATGCACAGAGTAATCCAGCTAAGGCATTTGTTAGACCTTTCCATTCCTCCTCTATGCTAAAAAAGAAAACATAACATGTTACATATTATTATACTTTTATAACTTTATTTCTTACACAGTTGAAGTTGTAACACAAGTAACCAAATATTTTTTAGTTTTACCTGCGTTTTTCTGAAACTGCGATATATCAAAATTAAATTCAGACCATAGAGCTAGATATTGAACAACTATGATTGTTGATCTTATCTCAAATTCAATTGCTTTACAATATAATTTCTGATACTTATGGGTAGTACATATAATTATCACTTACTCCCTCATAGCAAAGCCTGCAGAGACAGATTTTGAGCAGACCCAATGCTACCAATTTTTGATTGCAGAAAGGCAACAAATTATACACAGAGTTTGTACTATCAGACATTATCAGCAAACTGTTGTCAAAAATATGACAAAGCTTGCTGACATGCTATGACAGCAAATTGGTGACAGAAACCGAACAGTCTGCTGCATAACATGACAGCAGATTGCGAGCAGAAACTGAACACAGCCGGATCTGCTCGGTTTTTGTTAGCAATCTGCTCGGTTTTTGTCAGCAATCTGCTGGCAAGACATGTCAGCAGGCTTTGTCGACAAATCCATAGCCAAATGCAGACAAAGATGGCTATGGTTTTGTAATCAAAATCTGATCGAGTTTGCTGCCAATTTTCACGCAAATTGCTAACATTTTGCTATCAGGATTATTAGTCCTGAAATTTTATATTTTTTTGTACTATTTCTTACTTTGTTACGTCTTTATTAAACCAAGCAGTGACTTCAGCACCAGGTCCAGCATCATGGAAAGGATATCCCCACTTTTGATAATTCCACAAACCTTCCGTTAGAGTAACATGCAATTCTTCAACATTATGACGACCTATGATTTCACCCAATCCCCTTGGAAAAAGATGCGAATGTTGAACTAGAAATATTATCTTTTTTAAATTACAATAGCTCAAATTTGTCCAGCGAAAAAGAATAAGTTCAATTATTATTAATAACAATAATAAGGTAACCGGACAATATAGACATATATTCAAAACGCTCTATTCGCTGTTTATAAATAATTACACGATTAATTCAACAGATAGAAGGTATAACCATTCACTACAAATTTACGTAAAACTTTTCACATTACGAGAATTTATGATAGAGAAATAACATTTATGTTATAGACAACTAAATCAACGTTAATCAGTACATTTTTTCGAATTAAATTACGTGTTAATTAGTACATTATGAAATATGTACCATGCAGAATGAAATAAATCTTTACATTTTTCACATAAACATTTTCACGTGACGTTTATCATGTGAAAAGTGAAAAATGAAAAAGTTTCATGATCGATACTCTGGTTAAGACTTCCGATTACCAACTACAGACTCATTTGATGCATCCAGAAACATAATATCGCTCACTGAGCGCTCAGTGATTATGCTTCTGGATGTATCCATTGTCAAATCCCGGTTATTACTCTAGTATACTCACGTGTTTCTACACGATTTTCCGTTTCCCATATTGTAGTAAATTGAAAGTACGCATAGACGTGATCACTCGACAAGGGCTTCAGCATCAACTCCTCGTCAAAGAAATCATTGTATGCATTATTGCATGTACCGATATTAATTAAGCCGGTAAACAATACGAGTATACGCGAGATGGTCATATTGTTATGAGGTTAGGTTACAGTATCAGGTCTGTTCGAATATTATCCCCATATACTGCGATTTTTTCAATACAGGTCTGTTCGCGTAGAGAATAGCGTTAGCGATTTTGGCTGCAGTCCACTTGACGCTATAAACGCTTCGAAGCGTTCTTTGATTAGTCAATTCGTAAAATTCTTTGTTCTGATTGGTCACTTCAAACGCTTCGAAGCGTTTGTAGCGTCAAGTGGACCGCAGCCTTTGTTTCAAACAAAATGACAAATGCGATTGATCAATTCCGATGGACTAACTGGCCAGTTAAGTTAACTGAGCTTGGTGACAGTGGCCCTTACTTAGGTAATTGTTCAGCTGAGCTTCCTCACCTCCGATTTTGATAAAATTCGGCTCATTCAATGTAGTTTTACATGAAACGACTGAATCTGACAGAACAAACTCTGGACTGCGTTCGGAAACATCACCCGAGTGCCCCCATGTAGAGAACTTCTAAGAGAGTGTTCGAATTCCCACCTGAGTGCTCTCCGGGTGTCATGTCATCTTTGTTTAACGTTCAGTAAATAACAAGGAATAATACCTGGGAGGCACTCGAGTAGGAATCTGAACATAGCCCTCGAGAGAGAATCGCCAACTTCATGTGACTTGCTACTCCGTGATTGGCTGGCATCAATACGTGCGGATTTATGTCTAAAGGTGCATTCACATGCAAGCGTCAAGCATCAAGCAGCGGAAGCAGCAACCAATCAACGAGGCGATTTTTTACACCACTGCCCGTATCGTCCAGCTGATTGGTTGTTGCTTCCGCTGCTTGACACTTGACGCTTGCATGTGAATG